TGTGGATCTGATACAGGACGACCGCAAACGAAGGCCGAGTTACGAACGAAAGGACACAAAAAAACAACAACAACAAAAACAACACTTTTCTTGAACTACACAATCTCACATCAGCCTGTTATGGCAACATGCTAATGTTTTTTTTCTAGCTTTTTTTCCTACAGATGACAACTGTTAATATCTGAAAAGAGACTGTTTTTGTTGAATTGTTTTTGATAAATATGTTTTATGATTATTTCTAGGAAAATAGATGATATAATTTGGCAGTAAATTTAGCAGAATTAACAATGGAATTGAACAAAAAAATAATATTGAAAATAATGATGGTGACCACAAACTCTGACGTCACAAATCAAATAGTAGGAGGACATTTTTCTCCATACCCTCTGATACAGAGGTTGTGTTAAGTTTCAAACCAGGGACCCTTCTGCCATAGAGCACCACTGTTGACCACTGCTCCACCATGTCGTCCCAGCTGGCAGAGTCATCAGCAGAACAGCACTACTCAGAAAGAGAACTGCAGAAACCTCGTCCTTGGTGCTCGCCTTTTAGTCCGTCCAGATTCACTTAACATGCGAAGATTATTCATCTCATGTTGAGAGACGTGCTGACGGCAGGAGGACTTTCATTTCTACATTCTCATCCACAGCTTATCGTTTCAACCAGAGGGTTGGGGTACCGCGGTGGGGGTCGTAAAATCTACGATACGTTGTTGTAAGAATCTGTGCAAAATAACAAGGAGGTTGTATACAGAAGGCTAGGCCTAACATTAAAGACTTTTATTTTTGACATTGTTGGGAGTTCCCTCTCAGTCTGGGCCTAAGAAAGAGCTGCGGGCCTCAGCTTTAAACAACAGGTAGACACAAAGGAGTTGACGTAACATGGAGACATAGACCAACAGTATAAGCCACTAAAAAACTATTTTATAAAAAAAATTTAAAAAAACATTTGTTTAATGAACAGTGTTAAATCAGACATTGGTAAACTCATGCCGATGTTTGTCAGTTTTTAAAGAAAGAAGAGACGTCTCCTCCAAACACACAGACTGGTCCAGTCGGGATCATTTCAGGCTGTCATACACAGACTGCCTGCCAAGTCTGTCCGTCTGTCTGCCTGTCATCTCACATGCAACTGGGTCAGACGAAAACAGCCACCTCTTGAGACATTGTGTATATTAACTTTCACAGGGGGGACAACATACTCCCATTCCTTATGTGGACATGGAGCAGTGTGAAAAGAATCTGCAAAAATCACCACAGAAGAACCAAATCGCGCTGCAGCTCTGTGCTGATAATGATAAGGTTAGCTCACGGCCGGGAATTCTGCGCAAATGATTGACACTTGGAGCCGAGATAGAACTGAGGAGAGCAGGCTGTCACTCACGTGGACAGGCGGCCTACAGCGGTAGGAGACCACTGTGTAACAGACTAACTTTGATGTGCAGGAGTTGTGCTCCGACCACCTCTGATTGACTTTCAGAACCCTTGAGGGAATTTACTTTAGGCCCAATGTAAGAGAGAGAGAGAGAGAGAGACCCTTCCTTGAACCTTTCAAAAAAAGTATTGCATTTTACAGCAAAACGGGGGGAGAAAGGTTGGGCTCGGCGGGTTTACAGACAGACCACTCTTCAGAGCAGCACCTCTCAGGTCTGTCTGCAGCTTTAAGTACTGGCAGGTTCCTGAGAAATGAGGGAGGGAAGTCCATAGGAGAGGGGAGGATGCCATATTCCTGTCACTGGCAAAATACACCCCCCCTGGGAGTGTAACAGACGGGATCTCGGTGGGACAGGAAATGATTTCGGAGAAATCTAGAAAGCAGAAGGGAGACTCTAACAGATTTGGACCTGGGAAAGCGGGCAGCGAGGGGATGCCCACGGGTCAGGACGGAGCTCGCCCAGCAGCTCGCCGTGAATAGCAACTTTTGTGCTGAGCGTCGTTAGGAGAAGGAGGGTCAGACGTTACGTTTCAGGGGAGCAGTTCAAGAGTGAGAGGGAGGGGCGGGCGGGGGGGGGCAGAGGAATAAATTAACGCTACACAATGTTTGTTGAGTGATGCGTGTGCCAAGTCCGATCTGCGGCCTGAGATTTTTCCAGTGTGAGTGTGAGCACGGTCGTGATTAGCAAAGGGTTACGTTTAAAAAGTAAACACTTCTCCTTCAGGGTTTCTTTTGACATCGGCTGAAATTTGACAGATTTTGAAAGTAGTCGCTGGAAGTAATCTTTCATCCCCTCACTCTCCAACGCTCTTTACTTCCTTCATCAAGTGTGTTCACTAAAATGACCATCAATTAAAACTTCTTGATTTAGAAAGTGTACCCTACAAATGAAAAAATATATCAAACTAAAGCCCTTTGACTCCTTGACTTGAGAATTTAGTGAAAATTTAGTGAAAAAAAAAAAGAAGAAAAGATTTAACAGGTTTCTCCTCCAACACCATATATCACCTTCCTGTACCCACGGTGCAGCTGCTTGCAGTTAAACTGAATAATATCCATGTTGTGCTCTCTGAGACAGGACGTCTTAAATAAGCTACGATGCCTTCAATATCCTAGAAATAAGTCAGGTTGCATCAAGCTGACGACAGATTAAGCCAGTGCTTCCCAGTTTTTGTTTTTTTTTTTTGGCTGGAGGCCCCATTTGGACATCACAAATTTCTGGCGACGGCTGAGACATTTCTTTTTGTTGAATTAGTTTTTGTATATAATCATAATTTTAGAAGAATAAAAAAAACATTTCACTATGTTAGAGGCCAGGTAACAAGTTTCCCACGTCTTACCTCAAACTCTGCGTGTTTGTGGATGTCTTCAGCTCTCTGTCGGCTGAGGATAAACTCTGCTTCGTTGGCCACACGGACCAGGTGGTCCTTCATGGTGTGACTCAGCAATCTGTCAAAAAGGAGAGAGAGTGAACGTCACGACCACTTGGACACTTTTAATATCCATCAACAATCAACGTTTAAACTTGTCCTTGTAGACAGTTGTAATGAATGCATTTCTTGTTTTTCCAAGTCCAAAATATTTGTTTCAACATTGGTAGAAAACTGTGATGACCAGCAGAGGAACAACCATGAAATAGCTGTAAAATGTCGAAAAAGAACCGTGAAAAATGGGCAGAAAATCTAATTGTGAAGCAAAAACAAACCAGATATATTCCTTCACAGGGGGACAGGTGCTAATAGATTGTTGACCGTTTGAATCTGACCACAGGGACGATATCTTCCTCAACCTAACTCACTCTAACTACTTTCAACAGTGTTGATTAAACATGTATGCACAGTGTGTGTGTGTCTGTGTGTGTCTGTGTGTGTCTGTGTGTGTCTGTGTGTGTCTGTGTGTGTCTGTGTGTGTCTGTGTGTGTCTGTGTGTGTCTGTGTGTGTCTGTGTGTGTCTGTGTGTGTCTGTGTGTGTCTGTGGGTGTGTGTGTGTGTGTGCGCGCAAGTCGAATAAACCTCTCTAAAGCCCCGAAGGTCAGAAGTGTGCAAAGTGGAACAATAACAGAACAGGGACCAGAGCGAGGGCTTGGAGAGGCCCAGTGCTGGGGCTGATGGGGGGGGTGGGGGTTTAAGGGTCAGAGGTAGATGTAACCTAAGCCTGCTGTTTCAGCACAGGGTAGCAGGGGAGCGGAGGTGCCGGGGCCTCTGCTGCTTCTATGGCCTTCACTACAGGCCAGGCTATCAATAACTGCGCCACTGCCCGTCTTCATGCTGCTGTGAACTCTGACTGTACGAGGATCAGTAAAACACAGCTTTATAGGTCTTCACAGGTACGGACTCTATACTGTCTGACACTCTATGTTATAGACTGTGGAGTGTCACACTGTCTCCTCTCAGAATGGGAGAAAGGTAACTACACATATGAACTCAAATCAATCAATCTTTGGATTATTTGATATCATATATTGGTGATTAATCATTTAGGAATTAGCATAAATATGTTGACAATATAGCTACACACAGTCATAATTTTCCCTCCCACTTCATTTAAAACGAATTGTAATTTAAATGCATTATGGGTAGAAAAAAACCTAACTTCATAGCTTAACTTTATTTACAGTACAGTTATCCCTACAAACTGCTGTTCTCATAGAAAAATTACAATTAAGTTGTTACTGTGGCAACAATAAGGAACAATTTCTTTAAATTAAAATTCATTTGCCAACTGTAGGTAATATGATTTGAAATTACCCATGAAGAATAAATATAAAAACTGCTGCATGCCGCCTGCAGTAGGCCCCCTTGGAGGGCTTGCCCCTCACTTTGGAAAGGCCCCCTTAGAGGGCTTGCCCCTCACGAAACCACTGGTGCAGACTACATGAGATGCAGTGAAAATAGTGCAGGGACATCACAGCAATAATAATAATGTAATTGTCAATATAGTATATATAATATAATCAAACAGTAAAACACAGCAGATACGCAGTACTTTAACATAGTGTATGTGTATTACTGCATCATGTTTGATAAAACAGGACATTTGGAGACATCTGTGACTGAGGACAAACTGAGGTTCAGCCTTTTGTTTATACTGAGGGAGAAGTAATTGGGAAATCAAGAGCCATTTCCCAGGTGTGGCAGCAAACCCAGAGATCAGAGCCTGTGTCACATTCTAACTCACCACTCTCCCACTCCCTATCCCCTCTGGGAGGAGCAGGTATTGAATGGAGCCTGAACACAAGAGTTCTCAATCAACGCGCTCTCAAACCCTTCTACATCACTAGCCCCTGACGGTGGTTCAGAAACTTGAAAGGACACCCCCTCTCTACAGCCTCAGGGACACTGAAGGCCTCAGGTGTGGAGGAACTAATACGGGGGCTGTGAAATAAAATAAAAAAATGTCCCAGAGGTTTGAAGACTAAACGTATAATTTGAGTGACCTACCTGCCCTCGTTGACCAACTCGATAAAGGCAAGGCCGGCGTTCTTCTGGATAGAGTTCTGCCATTCCTAAAAACAAAAACAAAACAAAAAATCAAAGTTTGTCAATGTCGGTTTTATCATATTTTTTTGACCCTTAAATTTTGATATCAAAGCAAACAAGCTGCATGGAAACCTCTTAAAGGTATTAAAGCTTTAAAATCAATTTTCTTATTTGCAGAAATGTTTGAAAGGAACCAGATTTCAGCCCTTAGATGAGGCAATGAAGCAGGGTGTGACCTGACGTCCCCCGGAATTCTAGAAAAAAGGAATTGTCTGATGGAAACAATGCTAGAATGAGTGTTTGCAGTTATATGGAGTATAAATAGACTTGTTTTTTTATATATAGATATAAATACATCTATATATACAATCATACATGTTTCTACATATATACATATATACATAAATATATACATTCATATATATACATATATAAACATGTTGATTTCACAAAACCATTGACAACAAATACCAACACTGTGCTAACGACATCTACAGGGTTTTCCGTCAGTAAACCCTGTCGCCTCCACAGTTTATGTTCCTCTCTGAGTTTTACTGACGCTGTAAACCACGTACGCTAAATAAAAAAAAATCATCTACAAACATTAATCTACAGCTTCAGGGAGTAAAATGACCCGACAGACTGTCGGAAAAGAGTGAAAGAACCGCGTTGGGCGCGCATTTATCACAAGTAAATACACATATTTCCTCCTCTCTTTGACTCCCGTTATGGTTCAAGGTGTCAGTCTAAACAATCTGACCGCAGCCGTGTCGACCTTAAATCCTCCAGTTTGCGGGGACAACGAGAGAAGGGAAACACAGCGGTCATCATCTCCCATGTTCTGTTTAATATTTCAACACCTTCAACACAACCGTCAAAAGAATAATAAAGCAACAAGGTCATGGGGCCTGTCTGAACCTCACGGCGCTTTTTCCCCTTCTTCCTCTCTGGGGACAGGAAAAAAAATGATGTATGAAAAACTTTGGTTTTGAGCCTTAAACTACCAGACTACACCTTTAAAAGCTATTAATCACAACGCAAAACCTCACCTCAGCTCAAGCATGTACTAATTGTCATGTCAGCAGAATGCTTGACAAAGCAAATTTACTTAAGCATGTAAATGACTCTGGTACAAGCACAAGGCCTGCAGTGTGTACGTGAAGCTGAAGTATAAACTCTTTTGAGCTGTGCTGTCATCATGTCTTGAGCTGATAGAGGAAACTGTGTGTTTATGTAGAGACTGGCCTTTCCCTAAACCTAGAGAGCCCACAGGGACCGGGATATCAGGGCTACGAGACGGAAGGAAAGATCGGTTTACTAAAAAATTTTTCACTGACACAAAAACATTTGTCTGATTGTGATGATTTAAAAACCTCACTTTAACATGAGAGATTTGTACCAGGCCTGCATATATTACACAACTAATGACTGATTAGAAGCCTATTGGATAAGAGTTGAAATGTCTGAAATGAAGATAGTCCAGATTTCAACTTTAGTACGAGGGAGCCTATTGGATAAGAGTTGAAATGTCTTGAAGAAATGAAGATAGTCCAGATTTTAACTTTAGTACGAGGGATCCACTAAACTCTGTACTGATAACTAGTATCGGCACAATACTAGTTAAGGTCTGAAATTTACTTTTTGTTGAGAGTTTTTTAACCATCCACTAAAACTAACCTACCTACAAACGACAGTGTTTTCAAAGACATGCTCCACTAAAACTAACCTACCTACAAACGTGACACTTTGTTTACGTAAAAGAAGAGGACTGTTAGTGTAAGCTCTGCTCACTTTCTGTTCAGTTATGTTAAATATGGAGGGAGTGTAAATTTGTCAAAAATAGATAAATATAAACATTTTCCTGCTTAGTGCAAGTTCATTGAATTTCATTGCAAATTAAATAAATAAAAATACTCCGTGGTGTGTACAGTTCAGGATAAAATGTCCTAATAAGGGCTGTCACAAAAGTAGATTTTAAAAAGGTGTACAGTTCAGGATAAAATGTCCTAAAGGGATAAGGGCCGTCACAAATGTAGATTTTAAAAAATCATGTCAGCAGAATGCTTGACAAAGCAAATTTACTTAAGCATGTAAATGACTCTGGTACAAGCACAAGGCCTGCAGTGTGTACGTGAAGCTGAAGTATAAACTCTTTTGAGCTGTGCTGTCATCATGTCTTGAGCTGATAGAGGAAACTGTGTGTTTATGTAGAGACTGGCCTTTCCCTAAACCTAGAGAGCCCACAGGGACCGGGATATCAGGGCTACGAGACGGAAGGAAAGATCGGTTTACTAAAAAATTTTTCACTGACACAAAAACATTTGTCTGATTGTGATGATTTAAAAACCTCACTTTAACATGAGAGATTTGTACCAGGCCTGCATATATTACACAACTAATGACTGATTAGAAGCCTATTGGATAAGAGTTGAAATGTCTTGAAGAAATGAAGATAGTCCAGATTTTAACTTTAGTACGAGGAATCCACCAAACTCTGTACTGATAACTAGTATCGGTACAATACTAGTTAAGGTCTGAAATTTACTTTTTGTTGAGAGTTTTTTAACCATCCACTAAAACTAACCTACCTACAAACGACAGTGTTTTCAAAGACATGCACTGTTAGTGTAAGCTCTGCTCACTTTCTGTTCAGATATTTTATATATGGAGGGAGTGTAAATTTGTCAAAAATAGATAAATATAAACATTTTCCTGCTTAGTGCAAGTTCATTGAATTTCATTGCAAATTAAATAAATAAAAATACTCCCTGGTGTGTACAGTTCAGGATAAAATGTCCTAATAAGGGCTGTCACAAAAGTAGATTTTAAAAAGTAAGACGTTAATCAACATCTTGATCGATACAGAGTATAATTGTCGGTTACAGCTCTAGTATCTGACACTTAACCTCAATTTACAAGTGCTGTTTTATCCTGCACGACTGTATCGACATTGACCGTGTTTACAATTCCTGCCAAACAAAGAGGGCACAGAGGGAATAAAAGTCTGGGCTCAGAGTGGAAACTGTTTAGGAGTTGAGGACTGGCAGAGATTTCTGTGGCTGCGACTCGCTCTGGAGGAAGTGTAAGAGCAGCCTTGGGACTTTCTAGTTAAAGTACAGACTATAGTTGAAGGACATTAACCATGAGTGTAAGCCCGTGGCGGTGCGGACACCCACGCTGGAATGAACGGAGCTGCCGGGTATCGACAAAGCACCACAGGAAGAGATGCCGTAAATAAAGCCCGACTCGCGCAGATGAACAGAAATGCTGGATTTCTGCTTCTTCAGCAGAAATGAGAGCGACTATCGCTTCCAAAGGCCTGGGCTCTAAATTAGGTTTGACGAACAGCATGTAGGGTATTGGCATTTCGGTGGACACTGACAAAGGTGATAGCAAGACTAATGGTGTCATTACGGGCTAAGAAATGGCTCTTTCTAGTTGAATTAAAAAAGCAATGATCCTGATCTGAGGGACATCTCCTGATGACAAAAAGGAAATAACGGACAGGTCAGTGATAGAATATTGGATTTTGGCCGCCCTGGTCAGCGGTGTCACCGCTTTTATGGCTGTGATAGGGGCCATGACCACAGCAGCCCTGATGAGAGGATACAAGCAGCCATTTGTGACCCCTCACCTTTAACCTGACCTTCTAACAGATGATAGGACCAGAAAGAGGGCTGTTTTTGGTCTTGATGAGAAACTAGACTCAAGAGTTTGTTTGTCACATGATCACTTGTACACGTATGGCTACGTTGAAATGTAATCCTGAGACTGTGCATATTCAGCATTAAAGAATATAAATACACAGTTGCATTAAATGTCAGAAAAAGAAACAAAACCTCGGGCTGTCAAAAATGATTTGTGAAATTATACAGATTTAAACCCATTCACCGCTTGGCCAGAATGGTGCACACTATATATCCAGTAATTCCACCATCCATTCACTTGGTTGTTAGTTGATATAGTTGATGCACATGATGTTATTTGCACATGCTGTGGGGAAAAAAAGTGTTCCTCTGGCACATTGAGCTTAAAATACCACTAAACCCTATATGTTTACGGAGGCTTTGACTTCAGGTCAGACGCCCAGTCAGACCAGATTTAATATTTTGTTTGTTGACGAATCATCAAGTGGTATTGAATGTGCAAATTTAGTTAGTAACAGGTTTAAAGATTATTTTCGAATACTGGTTCCTTTGAAATGTTGACAATAATTAACATTGTCTTTATGTTAGTGCTGGGGAATATTGAGCAAAAAAATGACCACAGTGTATTTGCCGTACATTCTCGATACATGTTTTGAGCATTTATAAAAGATAAAAAACAGAAATATGGAACAAAATGGTGGAGAAGGTTCCAGATAAAACAGGAATTGGGAAGGATGGTTGAGGAGCCTTACACTACGAGTATAAAAATGTATCTCGGTCTCTGTGGTAGAGAAAGTATTATTATTTGGTAATATTTAATGTATTGACTATTAGTAAAAAAAATTAATTTACGTTTCTGTAATTTGTTCATGGAAACCCCCTGTGTCAGTGTGAAGTCCAGACGGGTCTGAACGGCCTGTGTTCCACGATGGTGGCATTGAGTCTAAACACACATGCCACGCACTTCCGTCATTACAGCTGATTATCCATAATCAACATCTAAATACACCACTAGCAGTGGTGAGAAAACACAGACCTCCAGAGCAAAATTGCCTTTCAAACATGGGCCCTGCCACAACACAAGGAAAACATTTTCCAACACCGAAGAAAGGAACGCTTCAGCTCTCTCGAAATAATAAATAAGTCAGTTTTGCTATTCGGTGGCATCACTCCTAATCACAAGTATTTGTTGATTTGACAAGCTGAGGGAATTCAACTTCAAATGAGACAGCGAGAGCATAAATTCAACTGTCAAGTGTGGCAGTGCAGCAATAAGCAATAGAAAAGAGGCTGAGAGCTACTGATTTTTTTTTTATAATAACTCCTTTCACAGTTACATGTGCAGTGTCAGACTGCAATAAGACTACATCAAGCTGAAA